GCTGCCTTTTGAAATCTTTTATTCAACTCTTTAGTATCTTGAATTCTTCCCTGTGCTTTGGCTTCTCTGCACTCCAGTGCAATTTTCAGAGTATCTTCTGACATCCATTTTGGTACCCAAAATCCAAAATAATGCATCTTTGGTCAAATCACTTTAATAATCAATTCAATGACAAAAAAATAGTCAACCAGATCTTTGATTGAATTGAAAGTTTAGAAACATCCAAAAACTTAGCTTAATAGCTCATACCTTATATTGTATATATGATATATGTAATAAAATATCCTATGCATATGAATCAGTAGATTTAATGTGTTTTCAAGAAAGCAATCTTTTTTGAAAATTTGAAGTCCATTTCTGTGGTGGTAAGTGCTTATTGTTCAAAACGGCTTCCGGATCCACTAACTTAACTTGCTATGTGGATGGGTGGAATTATGCAAATAGGGTGTGTTAGCCTATACACAAATGGGATTAGCTTGCCTTACCAATCAACAAGGGGATTAGCTAGTCTTGCCATTAAATTGAACAGATCTAGCAGCAGAATTATAGATCTTCCCCATCAGCAAATACTGCATAAAACGATTATTGTGAAAATAGAAAGATAACTAATAAAACATTTATGGGGATCCAAAGGAGGTATATGTGGGAGCAGAGGGAAGAGGATGGATAAGAGCAAAACCACAGGGTTACACAGTTTGGTGGGTAGAAGGAGGGGTTGAAGGAAATGGGAAGGACCCAGCAGGGACCTGAAAAGACAGGGTAATGATGGGTGATTAATTTTATAAAACATATTACATGGGAATGATTGCAAGAAACACAATATGAATAAATAGTGTGAAATACAATGTATACAAATTTTGTAAGCAAATCAATATAAAATTTTTAAAAAATATGTAACAAAAACAAACAACCTTAATCAGTTTTTTTTAAAAAAATGTAGCATGTCCTTGAGGCCAGATATTCTTGTGCCAGCTAGACTTATGGCAGCAGCAGCCATGGCCAAAGCAGAAGACCAGAGACACAACATGAGACAGAGTGAACCTTGTGACTGCCTATACACAAAGGGGCTAGTCTTGCCATTAAATGGAACAGATCCCAGCAGCAGAATTGAAGATCTTCTCGAGCAGCAAATACTGCCTAAGACCATTATTGTAAAAATAGGATAACTAGTAAAATTTTTATGGAGACCCAAAGGAGGTATATGTAGAAGCAGAACTAAAAGCCTTTTGCTCAACTTTGTGGGAGAACAGGAGAGAGAGGGAGAGCCAATATTGGCAGGACTGAGAACTTTGTAAACTGGCCTAAAGTTCAAGGTTCAAAGCACCTGTCAGCACATTTCAGAAGCTATCTTGACTGTATTCTACTACTAACTTGAATAATAGTCTTTTGACTTCCCCAATATGGTTTTGTGTGTTCTGTAAGCCATCACATCAGGTTTTGGACCCAGTAAAGCAGTAAGATTGGTGTTGAGATGAGTGGAAAAAGGTGAAGGAGAGTAGGAGACATGTTTGACCTCATGGGAATTGGTTCTGTGTTGTTGATAGGGATAGTTCTTGTTTGTGAAGTTGGTAAAGGTCAAATATGGCTGGTAGCCCTTGCTGATTTTACAAATTCTTTATATTTTCATATCATTGTGAGTAACTGTTTATTCTGGAAAACTACAATTTTTGTAACTGTGAAAAATGTATTCTTTTTTAAAGTAATACCTTCTTTGAAGTAAAGTCCATATCCAACCAAGTGTGGAAATTTCAGAGGTACCAGCTGATTATGACATTTCATGATCGACCAGTCTTACCACCACCAATGATCATTTTAAGCCACATCTACATTATCATTATGCGTCTTCGTGGTCGCTGCAGGAAAAGAAGAGAAGGGGACCAGGATGAACGGGATCATGGATTGAGTATGTGTACAACCCTTTCATTCCTATCCTTAGTTATATAAAAAAAAATTCCAATTGAAGATTCACAGAAATCTCATTAAACTACTTAAGTGTGGGAAACAAATGCTATTAACTTCAGAATGCTTTTCTTTTTGTGTTCATTTTATTCTTTAGCAATTAAGATTCCTGAAAGTCGATCAACTCAACTCATTGCCATTAAAATCAATTCAGAGCTGAACCTCCAGCAGATTTTCAGAGACTGTAAAAATTGTACAGGAGATTTCCCAGCTTTCTTTCATAGAGAAGCTTGTGGACTAAAAATGCTTCTTGGTTGGGAGCACAACTCCTTACCTGCTAGGCCACAAGAGCTTCCTGAAGGTCCATTGGTGTGGAAAACAATTTGCACTTGACTTGTAACTTAGAGCTTTGTGGATGGAATCTTCCTTTGGATAAGAAGGAAGAAAACGCCTAGCAATCTGCTTCAGTTAAGATTGTTGTTTACTGCCATCAAGCTAATTCCAACTCATGGTAATCTACATCTTAGAGTGTAGAACTGTTTAAAAGGGTTTTTCTTGACTATTATCTTAACAGCAAAATTTCACAGACCTTGTCTTCAAAAGCACTGATAAAGGGGATTCAAATCATCACCTTTAGGTTCACAGTAAAGTTCCATTTATGCCATGTAGGTACATTTCCACTAAAATTACAGACAAATAACTCTCTAACACATGGCTCACCATAAGGCAGCATCTACTCCACATCAACTAGTATTACTGAAAAGCAGCTGGTGAAATCAGAAGTTGAATGAGTTCTTGTAAATATTTTTCTATATAAAGTCAATGTTCCTTTCAAGTTCTTAAAATTTATTTGGCTAAAGAGGATGAGAAAATAATGTTATGTGCTTGATTGTATCTATATAATACATGCCAAAAGTTTTACAGAAAATAGTACTTAGTTTTGACATTTCTAATGGAGATAATTTTGTTCCTAGTGCTTAAAAGTGAGCCATTTTGCTCTAGCAAAAGGAGGACTGCTGCATACAAATTTTTTTTTAGGATAAACATAGTAGAATTGCCTCTATGTTGGAGAAAAGGGCGCCTATGAAATGTACAATAGCATGATTAAATAAATTGGTCTTGAATAATACTTCTTTTTCCTCATGGCAAACCCTTCTGTTGGTGCCCAGAGCTGTTCCTGAGTGAGGATGAGCTGAAGCGGCTGCATGAGTTTGAGGAGCAGTGCGTGCAGGAGCATTTCCAGGAGAAGGAGGACCAGCAGCAGTCATCCAGTGACGAGCGCATCCGTGTCACCTGTGAGAGGTGTGTCCTTGCCTGTCCCCACCACAGGCCCATGGGTTAAGAGTTACCTCTGAACAGCAATGCACAGACCAGTACTATACCACATAGAAGAATGTATGACAAAAACAATTCATACAAGGCCAGAGTGCCACAGATTAAAATCACCCACCTCATCATCAAATCTTGAGAATGTGTTAGAAGCAGGTAAGTGTGAATACTGATAAACATGAAAACACAGTAAGACTTCTCAAACATATTTTAGCAGATGGTTCCTAGACTTAAGATCCCATAAATTGGAAAAGAACTCATGGATGAGCCTTTACATCTTCCTGGTACATGTACAAGGTGGAATGATGCCCAGCAGGCCCTGGCCCTAGTCCTCTTCTAGATCCAGTCATTCTATAATCTAGCCAAACCCAACCAGTCAAACACAAGGTTGGCCTAAATCAGGGTAGGCTATTAATAAAGAACATAACACTTTGAAATATTGGTATTATAAGAGTTGTTGTTAAGCCTGCAAAATATAAAAATTATTTCTTCATAGGAAAGATGTAGGTAGTATAAAATTTACACGCTGTTACATAATAACATGATTTTCATTACAGTCATTAATTTACAAGCTGTGGGTTTTGCAGGTTTGTGGAGGTTTGGTTTTTTTTTTAAAAAAAAACAAAAACAAAAACATTCTGCCTTTTCCCCTTCTCTCCTCCCCTAGCATTGTTGAAATTTTTACCATTCTTGGACCAAGGCTCAAAGACTGTGGTTATCAGTTACTACCAACTGTATTTTCTCTTGGAGCTCTTCACAGACTTAATAGGAATGAATGTGCACCGAACAGCAAAAACACACGATTTCCTGCTTCCCTTGGCTCTGGTCCCCAGGACTGATAAAAGCACATTCTTGTGTCTTATTGACCTTTCTAGGCTGACTAACAGGTGACTGGGACAGACAGCAGCGGAGGGCTGCCTTAAAGATAGTATTCTCTTACTCTTCCTTGGCTCTTAACTATGATAGTTGAAGAACAAGAGATACAGTGGCAGGTATAAAATGAGCTCATTTTGCCTAACTCTGGGCACCTATGGATACTTTAAAAATCTGATTTTTGAATCTTCAAACTTTTCTGTCATTTCTTTAATCTTTGCAACAAAGTCCCTGAGTGGTTCAAATCATTCGCATTTGATTATGAACTAATCTAATGGTACTCAGTTAAACTCTCTCAGTGGTGTCTTGGAAGAAGGTCCTCAAGATCTCCTTCCCTTAAAGATTACGGCCAAGAAAGATGTATAGGCCAGTTTTACTCTGTAACACATAGGCCACCACAAGCACTGACTTAACAGGAAAGGGTTTGGTTTTGTTGCTGGCTTGCTTACATACCCAGTTGTTTTTCTTTTCTCCATCACAATTTGCCATTAGATGGTTCTCCTCTTCTCTTCTGGGACCAAGTACTCTTCAGAGTGTAAGGCATGGTTGGGAGTGTGATATGCACTGGAATGTGCTGTATGCATCAGTTCCTTCCTGCCACTCTATTTTTGGGGCACTTCTCAAACACAGACCAAAGATTTGCATGACTCAGTACTGCAAACATGTCCACACAGGAGCAAACCTTACACAGTTGTGAGCTCTTCCATTCAGCATACCTGGAGTGCTTATATTCAGGAACCAAATTCATTATTTTTCCTTGATGCATGGAAAATTATAGTTAAAAATTTATTTTACCATAGCATTCTCACAGTAAGAACCTACATAGATAATTCAGTCACTCAGCATAAGATTTAAACAAAATTTGATTTCTAATTGCAGTAGATTTTAATTCAAAAGCCTGACAATTAGCAAAGAGGTTGATGTATTCTGTGTCAAGAAAATATCTAAATGATATTCAAGGTTTGTAACTTTTGTGGAATGTAGCGCACAGATAACTGCCATCACCTACTTTGAGAGCAGCCCCTGAGCCTTGGGCTGCCCAACTGTTAAGCTCGTTGAGTTTGAATCCAGTACTCTGTATGTGAAGGTCTATTCAAAACAGTACCACACAACCAGCAACCTTGTTTACTTCTCTTCAGATAGGTGGATAGTCCAGCTGGCTTTACTCTATTTAAAAAAAAAAGAAATTTCAAGAAGATTAAATAGGGAGCTCTAGTGGGATTGTCCATAGGGAGTTACAATGCTAAATCCAAAAGTAATGCCCCTCTGACAATTGAAATCCAGTAGTTGCTGTGCAGGTGAAGGATGGAAAATTTCCTTCTGTGCAATTTACAGCCTTGAAAACCTACTAGAGGGTCAGCTATGAGCTGGTTTTGACTCAATGGCAATGACTGAGTAAGCATAAGGAAAAGAAATTCACTAAATTATGAAGTGCTACTTTGTTGTTGTTGTTAGTTGCCACGTAGTTGGCTCTGGCCCATACAACATAACAATATCCTGTCCAGTCTCACCTCATCTTCACTATTTCTGCTGTGCTTAAGCCCACTGCTGCAGTCACTGGGTTAATCCATTTCATTGAGAGTCTTCCTCTCTTTTAATGACCTTCTATTTTTCCAAGAATGATGTCCTTTTCCTGATAATACACTCAAATCTGTGAGACAAAGTCTCCCCACTCCTACAGAGTAAGAAACATTCTGGCTGCACTTCTTCCAAGCCATATTTGTTATCTAGGCAGTCTATGGTATATTCAATATTTTTTTGCCAATATGACAACTCAAAGGAATCAACTCTTTGGTTTTCCTTATTCAGTTCACTACTTCCACATGTATATGAGGCAATAAAAAATGTCCTGGCTTGGATCAGACACACCTTGATCTTTAAAGCGGAAGTCCCAGAAGATTTAACTGTGCTCAGGCAAAACTTATAAAAGATAAAAAAAAGAGCTGTGTGTTCAGAACAAGGGGACACTGGATGGTTTAAAATTAGGAAAGGTATGTCTCAGGGTTATATCCTTTCTCCATTCCTATTCAATTTGTATGTCAGGGAAAATAATTCAAAAAAACTGGACTATATGAAGAAGAATATGGCATCAGGATTGGTGGAAAACTAATCAACACAACTTGTGTTAAGCAGATAATACAGCCTTGCTTGCAAAAAGTTAAGAATACTTGAAGTATCTATTATAGAAGATCAAGGACTGTAACCCTCAATATGGTTACATCTCAATATCAAGAAAACATAAATCCTCACCACTGGACCATAGGTAACATGATGCAAGATGAAGAAAAGATTGAAATTGTCAAGGATTTAATAATCCTTGGATTCACAATCAACACCCACTGTAGTAATAGTCAAGAAATCCAAGATGAGGGACTTCCAGTGGAATGGCAATCTAGTCAACTTGATAGCCTTGCTGCTGTCAAGTTGAATATGACTCATTAGTGACCCTATCAACCACAGACTTAAACCCTATCTTATCCTATTCTATCCTCATCTCTGAAACACTTGAGTCCACTGTTGCATATACTGTGTCAATCCATCTCAGTAGGGATCTTCCTCTCTTTAACTGACCCTCTATCTTTCCAAGCATGATGTCCCTTTCCTAGCAACATGTCCAAAGTATGAAAGAGGACGTTTTGCCATCTTTACCTCCAAGGTGCACTCTGACTGCACTTTTTCCAAGACATACCTGTTTGTTCTTTTGGTAGTCCATGGAATATTCAGTACTCTTCTCCAAAAACATACCTCAAGGGCATCAACATTTCTTTTGTCATTATTATTCATTGTCCAGGTCTCTGATGCATAGCATGGGATTGAAAAGACCATGACCTAAATCAGGTGCATCTTAATCTTCAAACTGACATCAATGTTCTTCAGTACTTTGGAGAAATCCTTGACAGTGGACATCTCCTGATTTCCTGACTGCTGGTGCAAAGGGTGTTTACTGTTGTAGGGACACATTATACTAACAAAACCCCAGTCACAGGCATTCTGAAAATCAAGAGGCCTGGGGGAATCTGGGAATGGGGGGAACTGATTAGAAAAATAATAAAAGTGTAGATGAGAGTTTCATAATAAGCACAATGGATGACTGAGCTGAGCAGAGCAGAACCCTGCCCTAATAAGGAGAGAAAAAAAATCATACCAGAACATACTGGAACATCTTAGAAGATCTCCCTGCTCACACAAAAACAAACATCCAAGCAAACCTTCATCTAGACAGGAATGGGACAGAAGAAAACTTACCACGCTCACCACGACAAAGCAAGCTGTTTGGCACCACCTTGAGCTGGGTAAAGAGATGCCCAGAGCAAAAGCAAGACTTCTTGAAGGACTAGCATATGCACAGAGGTGTAAATCTGTGTATTAAAATTCCTAGAGAAAGAAAAGTCTCCTTACACACACACACACACACACACGCCCCTCATTTTCACAAGGCATGCAAACATCAACTGATACTAACTGACTTTAAAAAGCCAACCCATACCATCTGCCAGGTACAGGCTCGCAGATTCCTACCCTACTACGCTGATGTCCTTTGCCAGGCAGATCTTCCCTGGCAGCACTTCCTATGCAGGATATTTAATCTCTTCTCTTGGAAGTCACATTTTAAAGGCATACAAGCACAGTAAAGGCAGACCATCTCCAAACACATGTAGCTACAGGGACCCACTAGAAGTTATTATACATACATCAAGAAGAAGGGCACAAAATGTTCCAGTAGTTGCATACAGTTCTAAATGCCACAAAAAACCAAAACAAACCTTCACCAGAAAAGAGACTAGATCGCAGATCCAATGAATATCCAGAACAGGAAGACTAAAGAAACACCCCAATATGTTGTTATGTTGTTGTTGTTAGTAGTAAAGAAATGACAATGATGGAAGAAAGAGTTGAAGCTATAAACAAAAAGGCAGAAGAAGTAAAAAAAAAAACACACCACAAAATCTTTAAAAGATACAATCAATAAGGTACTAGAAATAGTATAAAACATGAACATGAAATCTAGAATAATAAGAATTACAGAACATGTGAGAAGGATGAAAAAGCATTATGGTAGAAAGGAAACACAGAATTAGTGTAGTATTAGGTAGAAGAGA